TTCGATGTCAACAGCCATAGTTGGTACTGCATTATTCTTACTTTCTTTCTTTAAAACAGAAGGTGATACACCTGCACCTGTGCCTTGGTCACACTTAGCTTTATACTCTTCAAAAAGGCGCTCCAACTTGTTCCGCATTGATGCCAACTCAATTGAGTTTTCTCCATAAGCCTTCTTGTAGAAAAACTCAACAATTTGCATCTTATACCGAGGATCAAATACCAATGCTATGGATAAAATAGGGCTGAAATCTGACCAATACTTCTGAAACTTTCCCCACATTTGCCATGCCATATCCTTCAAATAACCATCTTCACTTTCCAAGGCTCCTTTCAATGTCACATAGCAGTTCATAATTTTTGGAAAATATAAGTTGGAAGTGGTGTATTTAGTGCCAGAAAATACAAGTGTTGCATCATAAAACACTTTCAAATACTTGTGAGTTTTCTCAACTCTTTCCTATTCATCACTAGAAAGGTGATGCTTGTAATTGGAATCACTTAACTCCAAATGTTGAAAAGCCCGCCTGAAAAAGAGAGCTCTATCAAGCATAAGATAAGTGGAATTCCACCTAGTCACCACATCTTGACACAATCCTTTATTCACATTCAACCGCACCAACTTCACACACTCTATAAACTTTTGCTTCCTCATTTGTGATGCTTTTACATATTTGACAGTGTCACGAATGTTTTCAACTGAGTAATCAATCCTTTTCAAACCATCTTGTACAATTAGATTCAAAATATGAGCACAACATCTCAAATGAAAAAATTCCCCATTTGAAGGCAACAAACCATCCAAATTCAATTGTGTTTGCAAGGAAACCACAGAAACATCATTTGAAGTAGCATTATCCAAAGTGATAGTAAAAATCTTTCCCTCAATACCCCAATCATCGTGTAACAAAGAATAAATCTTTTCAGATAGTGCAATCCCAGTGTGTGGAGGTGGCATATTACAAAAGTTTAATATTCTCTTTTGCAATTTCCAATTCTTGTCAACAAAGTGAGCAGTAAGACACAAATATCCATCACTAGTCAAAGAACTCCACAAATCAGATGTCAACGAAATTCTACCAGGGCATGCAATCACCATATTCTTAATCTTTGCTTTCTCCTTCTCATACATCTTAAGACAAATAGCTTTAGCAGTGTTTCTAGAGATTAATTCTACATCAGGATATAAATACTGTAGCATTGCTCTTAACCCCTTGTACTCAACAAACTGGAATGGCAAATCATGCATAATAATACAAGATGCAACCAACTCACGCCATTTTTCAGAGTCAAACTTGCAAGTATCAAGAGATAAAGTTCCACTATCACGAGAGATAAGCATTTGACCGATGTCACGAGTATCTCTTTTCTTACAAGTTTTAATATGGCGACTCATATTACCTGTTCCATATTTGCTTGAAGCAAGATATTGCTGGCCGCATTTCTTACAAGCACTTCGAACCTTTCCATCTGCCCCCAAAGGAAGTATGTCGAAAAATTTCCACACTTTTGACTTCAAAGTTTTTTTCAGTGGTTTTGCAGAGCTCGTATTAGCAGAGAAACTCTGTTCAACCTTAACTTCAAACACGTCATCTTCAAGGTCCACTCGCATTTCACTATTACGTTCACCTTCAACATCTTCACTTACAACCTCTAAATTTACTTTCTCCATCTAAAAATAAACAAATCCATTTAAAAATTAGAATGAAATATCCTTTGATTGATAATAAATATGTTAAAAAAAAGGACAATAAAAGGAACAAATAACATCAACATGCTACGAGTATCTATTTGATGAAATGTCATATGATCTAAAGCAACATCTCGTTGCTGCTGTCGCTGTCATTATAAGATAGTTATCTATATCATTGTGTAATTAGCTTATAATGACAAATCATAGCATTTAGACAGAGGATTTAATGAGCGGAGCCACTTTAGCAAATAATCTACCAGCAAAATTAAATCTACCAACTGATTCTTCTTCGTACCAGCAAATAATCAACCAGCCTAAGAAAGAAGAAGAAGTTGCTTACCAGCCTAAGAAATTTCAAATCTACCAGCAAATTTCGTGCAATAACAGAGAATGGGGATGAGATGTTTACCTTCGAGAAGTCCAACCGTTGAGAAGGCGAAGATAATCAACCAAGGGGCCGTTGAGAGAGCCGTGAGGGGGCGGCTGAACAGTGAGGTGAGAGAGAAGAGCGAGAAGAGAGAGAAAAGAGAAGGGGCGGCTGAACCGTGAAGTGAGAGAGAAGAGCAAGAAGAGAGGAGGCGGCTGCTAGAGAAGAGAAGAGGAATGGCGTGTGTGACTGTGAGAAATGAGAAAGAAGAAATGAAAGGGGGTGAGGCTGCTGCACATGAGGGTGAGGAGAAGGAAGAAAAGTGTGTGTGTGCGTGTGTGGGTGTGAGGGAGGATTAGGGTTTTTTCTCTTATGAGACTAAATTACTAAAAGGTCCAAAATTAAAAAAATAGTATAAAATTAATAAATTAACTAAACGGGTTAATTTAGTGTCATACGAGTTAACACTAACCCGACCCTTTTTCAGATGGGTCAATTTCGGGTTGACACTAAATTGACCCGGGGTTGATATTTTTGACACTAACCCGTAAAAAATCGAGTCGTGTTCGTGTCGTGTCGTAACCCGTATTGTCAGCCCTAAGAAAGCATCTCTAACAAAATTCTCTAAATTTTAACTAAAATAGTTAGAAAGCTATTTTAGTTAGCAACTTTTAAATAAGTTATTTTAACCACACTCTTTATTTTAATTAAATATAGATTAATTTAATATTTTATTGAATTTAAAATATAAATAATTTTATTGTATTAATAACAAAATTTTTATATTTATTACAATTGAAAGAATAAAATAATACACAAAATGAAATAGTTAATCACTCCATGCTAGTTATATTTAGTTAGTGTGAAATGTATTTTCTAAAATAGCTAACCATTTAATGGTTGGAGTGAAAAAAAGTTAAAAAAAACTAAGCTTCCGTTTGGTTCACTGGTTTAAATTTTGTTAATTTGAACAGAAAAATTCAAACTGTGTGGTTTAAATTGTAGTTTGAATTGGCGTTTGGATATGTAGTTAAAGTTTTAATTCGAATAGGGAATAAAATTTGAATTTGTGTTTGGTAGGTGTGAAAAACAGAGAGAGTTAACACTTTTTACTGTTAAAAAATAGTTTGAACGGTTGAACTTATGGGGGAGCTAAACTCTAAATTTGATACTTTAGCTTAATTTAAACGGGAAATATAATTCAAACAGCATGCTTACTAAATGTCAATTCAAATAATGCTCACTGTTCAAATTAAGTTGAACTGAACTAAATTAGTAAAACAAATAATAGTTAAATCATTAATTATTTTGACTAAAAACTTGAAATGAACAGCGTAATTCGAGTTGCTATAATATGTAAATTTGAGCAGTTCCTCGAGCTAAAACCTATTAACAAAAGTAAAATTGTTTAAAACGAGAAAAGAAACAACAAGAGCTACCATCAGTCGAAAATAAAGATTCCTAATAAAATAAATAACAATACCATTGGAGAGAAACAACGATCATCAAGGATCATACTAACAACATTTTGACCGTCAGTATAAAATTAGAGAAAGGCCAAAATCCACGGCAACAAGAAACGGAAAAAAAAAAAAAAAAAAAAAAAAAAAAAAAACCGTTCCAAATGGCTAAAAGTTCACTGGTTTCATAACAAGTGATTGTGAATACTATTACTACTTCACATAAGATAGTCAAGATTCAAGTAAAAATCCAACGTAAGTAGGTGAATTAATAAACAAGGTTTGTATGATTCCAAATCAATATTGCTTCCAAAATTAGTAGGTAAAATAAATAAAACATAAGTTTGTTCAATTCAACCACAACCTTTCTTACCTCACTTCTTTAGAATAACTCCAATTATAATAGTTATTTCATGTTTTTAGCTAAAATAACTAATGATGTATTAATTTTTTTAAAAACTTTTCTCCACTCCAACTATTAGCCAAATGGTCAACTATTTTGGAGAATTCATTTTTTTAAGGCAAATTTTCATTCAAACAAAGAAACAAACAATACAACGCAATAATAATGACCTATCTGAGAGACATACATACACATGAGACCTAAAAATAGGAGATAACCTCAGCACACTATAAACGAGCACTTCTAAAGCTTAAATTGAAAAACCCCCTCATCAAGATAAACTTTCGAAGTTTGGAGGGACAGAATACTAACTCTCATATGGAGGAGATAAAAACAACACGACATACCTACACTATTAGTAAAAGACTTAACTAGGTGGGATACACAATCAATTCAGAAGGTAGGAAAACCACAAAATAAAGTTGAACACACGCCGAAGACTAACATTTAAGAAATGGCGACAACAACACCTTTATTACACACCAATAGAAAATCATAAACTAAAACAAAGAGACATTCAAGGAGAATGCATTTCACACTTTCCAAATATAACTAGCAAAAAGAGGTTAATATTTCATCTTTTCTAGTATTTTACTCTTTCAAAGAGTAATAAATGAAAGGGTGCTTTTTTAAATTCAATAAATTTATTTATATTTTTAATTTAATAAATATTAAAATATTTTACATTTAGTTAAAATTAAAAGTGTGATTGAAGTGGCTCACTCAAAAATGATTAGTTAAAATATTTTAACTAAAATTTAGCTGAAATTTAAGGAGTTCATGCCCTTATCTCCTTAATCCTTATCAACTCCCACATACATGCTGAGGCATTCCATTCCCACTTGCATTCCATTCCCACTTCTCTCTCTTCTTCCTCCTGGACCTCCTCTAATATCAAGACCGGAAATTCAAAAATCCCACAAGTCAAACCCAAAGCCTAAGTCAACCCTAGCCAAGAAAATAAATAAATAAATAAAAACCCAAAACCCAAACTCCACCGGCTATAACCGGTCACCTAGACCCAATCCCCCACCTATAAATATACCATTCCTTTAAAGCATTTCCTTTAAAACTCTTATTTTCCAAACACTCCCATTTAGTCCCCGCCTTTTTTCTTTTCCTTTCTCGCCAAACAAACAGACCAACCCAAACTCATGGCCTTCGCCCCCGAAACCCCCGATCGCAACTCCACCAAGCGCACCACGGCCGGCCTCGTGGCCTCCGTCCTGGCCTTCGCCTACATGTTCTCGAAGCACGCGAGCCGCGTGTCGAAGAAGCTGAAGCCGACGCCGGCGACGCCGAATAAGCCGAGCTGGAAGACGGCTCCACCGTCGCCGGCGCCGACGAGGAAGCCGAAGAAGCTGCTGGCGACGATCAGCAACAAGGCGATCACGCTGGTGAACAGGAAGAAGAAGGCAGATCACGATGAGATCATGGAGGACGATCAGGAGGAGTGGGGCCACGGCGGGGTCTGGCAGCGATCGATCTTGATGGGCGACAAGTGTCAGCCGTTGGATTTCTCCGGCGTTATTTACTACGATTCCAACGGGAAGCAGCTGAGCGAGCTGCCGTTGAGGTCGCCGAGAGCCAGCCCCTTGCCTGGATATCTCGACAGAGCCAAGCACTGAAAGTGATACGTCACCCGCTGGTGATACTTTAGTTCTGTCACCACCACTGAGAAATGGTGTTGATGAAATGATTTTTTTGGCTCTGTCACCGCCGGCGCAATTTCGATGGAGAGGAACGGAAGACAAAGTCGACGGCGTCGTTTACTTTTTTTTTTTTTTTAAAATTTTTTAAATTGTAGTTTGAGTTAAGATTAAAATTGATGTGGTGTGAGTTTAGTGGGTGGAGAAGGAAATAGGCGGGTTGTGGGCCCCTCCATGACTAAGTCGTGTGATGTGGAGGTCACTTATAGGCTTTGTTGTGTACACGTATGTATATATTATATATTCATATTAAATTATATATAGAAAATTTGTTTAGATAGATATTTGAGTGCTTTAATTTGGTCGAGTTCAATAAGACTTGTCAATATATGTGTTTCTTCATTTTGGCTTCTGATTTTGGTCCTAGAGGGTAATTAATGCTATTGGTCAATTTTCTGTTTAAATGGTGGGAAATTCGTTGAGAATTTTCATTTCGCATAGTGTAGAAGACTTTTTAAGGGCCTATTTAGTTCGCTGATTCGAGTTTTTAATTCGAGTTGAGATGTGACTTTATATGAGAATTTTTTACTGTAGTAAAAAAGTTAGATGTGACTATTTCTGAGAGCTTTTTACTTTAGTAAAATTTGAATCGGTAAAATGAACGATATCTTAAGTTGTATACCGTATCATATGCAAATTTAGTGTGTTTCCGCCAAATATATATGGCGGCCTTCTACTTCTGTGAAGCTTAGAACACATGCCATTTAAAACTGAAAATATTTTTGTCCGCAAATATACATAAAAAAAGTGAAAATATTGTGGTGCAAAAAAAGTTTGACTTTTGCATGATACAAGCAAGAGAAAGACAAATTACAAATAGTGGTATTTTAGGTATGCAAATATGTGAAAAAGACGTGCCCTTAGTTATAATAAAGGGGCATACCTCATAAGGGTTTTCTCAACTCACTTATTATTTTGTTTAATAAATGGATGCTACATTCAAGGTTAATAAAGGCCGTGCATATATATATATTATATATATATTTATATATATATATATTCTCTTTTCCATCTTTTTAAAATTTTTGGCAGTCACAATCTTCATGACAAATTTTTATATATCCACCTCTCCACATCCTTACATTTTAATATTTGAGAATGATATCTCCGTTTTGCACTATAGGCATCAACATCATAAAGTGGTGCATCATTATGATCTTTTTCATGTTGTTGAATTTAGGTTAGGGGGCAAAAAAAAAAAAAAAAAAAAAAAAAAAAAAAAAAAAAAAACAAACCAAAGACGATATAGTTTGGGAAGGGAATAAAAGGTTATCATCTACTAACTACACATATAGGTTTCATAATATTGATTATTGATGAAGACAAAGGCAATGACTGAACTGCTTTGAGACTAATTTAGCACCACTGAATCCGAGCAAAAAAGTTGTAAGAGTTTCGTCCACTGAAAGTGGGACAAGAATAAGATCTGTTAAATAGCTATGGGCTCCGGAAGGTAACATCAAGAGGGTGATTCTGAGATTTCATTTTTCTTTTTCCTTTTTAATAAATAAAACTGCAACTAGCTTGAGATTTTATATAGGAAGTTGCTATACAAGGTTGAGGGCACTATACAAACACGTAATATATAGAAATGCAAAGCAAAGCGTAATATAATGTTTATTCTATTAACGTTAAAGATGAGTAATAATAGTCTAAGCATATATATTAGAGTGGAAGTAACGTCCAACAAGAATTATATATATATATATATATATATATAAACGAGTTTTCAATTGTTATACGTTTTTATTAGTGAGTATTTGTCAAATATAAAAATTTAATAACATGACGTGATAAAAATCTAATCTTATTAATTATTATATTTTTTAATCAATTATTACAACCGTTTGATTAATAATAAACGGTTAAAACAATAATACCCACAGACGAATAAATATAGAGTAATATCTATACCCAAATTTATAAATAGGTTCTCAACCATCCTCAGGAAATATTTGAAGGTGGGATTCGCAATTATTCTGAAATATATATCAGAAAACAAAGCTATTAATTAAGGAGCCTTAAGTAGGGGTATTCACAATCGGGTTGAGTCTTTTTTTTGGGTAAAAATCACCGACTAAATTAAAAATATATTTTTTTCTTTTGTGCGATTTGGGGATTTTAATATTTTTGACAAAAATCAAATCAAACCAAATCACGCATAAGTAGTTTGGGTGGTTTGAGCTCAAGATTATTCAAGTTTTTAATAATTCACAAAAATTAAAAAATCGTTAATCTATAACAATAAAAATAAGATTCAATCTATGACATAATTCAAAAATAACAAATATCTAAAAGTTCACCATTCATAGTTTTAATACAAACCACTAAAAACGTGGCATGATGTATTTTATAATTATAGAACCTCTATTATGACAACTGAAAATTAAAATAAAGAAATAAAAATTTCTATATGTGTATTTTTAAGCGGATTATTAAGTGATTTGGAGAGTCCATGTCACTAACTAAAGCACCTAAAAAAATTATACTAAAACACCAACCAAATCGTGAAATAATCTAAATATAATTAGCGACTTTTTTGATTTGATTTGAATTGAGCGGTCTGAGCAATTTGATAGATTTTTTTAGACACCCCTAGCCTTAAAGCATACGGTCAGCTGCCCCCTCTGAGCGTGAAGTGGTTCTTTTTTACTTTGCCCCTCAACAAGTTTTTTTCTTGCACTTTCCCTTTAAGTTGCCCACTCTGAAATTTTATAATTATAGCTTTTACATATATTTTAAAAATATTTTCTATCATCTCTCAAGTCTTTTTTAGGAAACCCAAATTTTAATGTTACTTACACTCATATTTATTAAACTTTTTACATGCTTATATTATACCATAAATTTTAACTCTTAAGCACACTAATAATTAATTCAAACTAAAAAATCCCAATAAAAGGAAAAAAAATAACTATATTGTTATATAAATTCATAATTTTGTTGACTTCAAATTTTAGATATTAGAAGTTTGAATCATTTGGCTGAAGAAATAAAATAGAGAAAATAACTAGGAGTTTATTGTCCTTCAAAACTTTCATTTAATCCACGCCTTAAAGGAAAAAAGTTTCTGGCTTCCACACTTCTACCGTTTAATGGGCAGTACATTATTGATGTATGTTTAGATCAATTAGTACTTATTTATGCCATGTACGCCAATTCAATTGACTAAATTTGTTTATATGATAACATATTTATTTACATGTTGATCAGAAACTTCCTTAAAGAGGTCAACGGCAAACAATTTCACTATGTCAAACTTAACCGAATACGGACAAATTAGTGGCGGAACCACCTTAGGTTGAGTGGGGGCAGTCGGCTCCAAAATGACCACTTTAATACTCCCCTTAAATTTTTCATTTTTTTATTTATATGAAATTTTAAAAACATTTCAACTGTACCCTGAAATTAACTATTGAATATCTCATATTTTAAACCCTAAATTGCTAAATAAATCAATAATTAATGACACTATCACATTGGTTCACAATAAATTTGTGAATTGCAGACCTTTAAAAGTAAATTCTACTCAATTAAATGGTTTGATTTATTTATATTAAAAAAATATGAAAATAAGGAAAAATAATAATAATTAAACTTTTATTTTATTGTAAAACTTTGGTTTCACTCATACTCTCGTTAAAAAAAAAAATCTTACTCCGTCACTGTAAATAATTATATCAACTGTCATGTTGGGTTTTGGGGAGCATTTATCTAAAACTATATTAGTTTTATGATTCAGAAAAAAACATTACATGATGCACGTTTTGTTGGGCTTCAAATTCTTATGATTGATCGATTAATGAAAAGAAAAGGAGCATATTCTTTGTATATTTAGCGTTAAAAAATATGTAACGATTTCCTGATTAATTGAAAGCGAAAGAATGTTATTAATTGGAAAAGATGGAGTTTAGCACATAATAAAGTAGTATTGCACAGAGAATTTATTTAGGTAGTGTTTAAATTTCAAAATCAACGAGAGTAAGAGGATGTTTGGTGGAGAGATTCGTTCCCTGATTCGAATCATGATTCATGGTTCGCTACAGTATTTTTTCTCACAAAAAATTCACGTAAATCGAAAATAATTTAAATCACATGATTTGAATCCTCTAACTAAACGTCCCTTAGACCAACTGAAAATCATAATTAATTACTGACATCCCAACTTACTATAGCTAGGACCCCGTCAAGAAGAAAGAGTAAAGGAATCACGTGACCTAGATTTGGTAAAATAATATGTCATATATGGTTGAAAGTGGAAAAGAGTGAGAAATTAAAAGCTAAAAGGCAAAGCAAGAAGATGACTTTCATGTCTATTTTGTTTGGTGTGTGGTGGAAGAGAAGAAAGGGATGCAAAAACTTCTTTTATTTTGTGCTTATACAGCTAGAAAGTGCCTACGGCACTTTTGAATATTTAGGTTTTACTTTGTCAGTCTTTTGATTAATCTATGAAATCAATCATTTTTTTAATTCAAATAACTTCGTAATGATAAAGAAAGGCCAATGCGTTATTTTGCATATATATCCTCAAATTATATAAAATTGAGGTTTGCAGTTTTTTATTTTCTACTTTTTAAAGATGATCAACTTATTAATTGGGGGTTTTTTTTGTTTGTTTTTTTTTTTTTTTATAAGATTTCAAAGTTGGTAATATTAAGGGAAAAGTTCAAAACTATCCTTTATAAAAAGTGATGTTTTTGTTATTGATCTCTTTAATCATAACTGTCCCTTTATTAAAAATTTAAAATAGATCTAGTTAACATTAAACAGCTTAAACAAAAAGATCAATATTAAATAAAGGGGACAATATTGATTTCACAATGACCTTAAAGGGTTAATTCTAAATTTCTTTTTAATATATATATGGAAACGGAGAACGTTTTAAAAGAGTTAAAAATTTATTTTTCTGCGGCTTCCTCTTCCATACGGAGTAATAGGTGCATGTCAATCGATAAAAGTACATGAAGAAATCCTCCTCATTCTTTAGTAGAATCAATGTTTAGTTGCTTTGTTTAATATAATAATTTATTTGTTGTATCCATTTTGATATTTCTCTATGATTTGTAGTTATTGTAGTGTTGGTTTCGGTCAACTTGTCTCTACTAAACAAAAGACAACAAACTGTAATGAATCTACATATCGTATGTACGACAGAATAAAATAAAAGGGAAAAAGGATAGAGACACCTTATTCGACAATATGCCTATATTTACGGACTTGAACAAGAGAGCGAATTTATTAATAAGAAGTACTATGAACGGGTTCTATATAATAAATACAAATTATAATCATAGAATTGAGTAAGATACCTAATACTAGTA